ATTATATTAACATGAGTAATAATAAAAAAATATAATATAATAATAATAATAATACTATAACAAATACATTATTATTATTATTATTATATTTGTTATAGTATTATTATTATTATTATTATAACAAGTAATAATATTAGTAATGGTGAACACCAGGCAGTAATAATAATAATAACAATGTCATTATAATCCGCGGTGATGGGGTAGTTTCAGGTGAATTGTGATGGCAACAATACTAATGATATCAGTATCCGTGATAATGATATAATGATATAACTGTTGGTGGTGATGATACCGGTGTCGGTGGTAATACTGGTGTCGGTGGTGATGATACTGGTGTCGGTGGATGTGATGAGTGTCGGTGGTGGTGATACCGTTGTCCTTAATGATATCAGTGTCAGCACAGCCACAGTGCCTCTCCCCGGGCGACAGTGACGTTATACAAGCGGCACTAGGACCCGGAGATAGTAGGGGGTGATGAGAAGACACGCCCAGGTCTGCCGGTAATCGGCCTGTGATTGGCGGAGAAGGGTCGGCTCCGCCCCCGGCGCTGCTGTGTCCGCTGTGCTCGGAAATGCGGCCAGTGTGAGGCGGCCTGTACCGGGTAGACGCGGAGCGGTCCTGGGACCGGAGAAGCGTACATGCCGGGGGGAACCGGGGACAGAGACACGGAGGAGGCAGGTGAGAGAACACCGACACCGACTGACACACTGCCGTCTGTTCCCCATCACTGACTGACTGACACACTGCCGTCTGTTCCCATCACTGACTGACTGACACACTGCCGTCTGTTCCCATCACTGACTGACTGACACACTGCTGTCTGTTCCCCATCACTGACTGACACACTGCCGTCTGTTCCCATCACTGACTGACACACTGCCGTCTGTTCCCCATCACTGACTGACACACTGCCGTCTGTTCCCCATCACTGACTGACACACTGCCGTCTGTTCCCCATCACTGACTGACACACTGCCGTCTGTTCCCCATCACTGACTGACTGACACGCTGCCGCCTGTTCCCCCATCACTGACTGACTGACACGCTGCCGTCTGTTCCCCCATCACTGACTGACTGACACGCTGCCGTCTGTTCCCATCACTGATTGACTGACACGCAGCCGTCTGTTCCCATCACTGATTGACTGACACGCTGCCGCCTGTTCCCCCATCACTGACTGATTGACACACTGCTGTCTGTTCCCCATCACTGACTGATTGACACACTGCCGTCTGTTCCCATCACTGACTGACTGATTGACACACTGCTGTCTGTTCCCCATCACTGACTGACTGACTGACACACTGCTGTCTGTTCCCCATCACTGACTGACTGACTGACACACTGCCGTCTGTTCCCCATCACTGACTGACTGACTGACACACTGCCGTCTGTTCCCCCATCACTGACTGACTGACACGCTGTCGTCTGTTCCCATCACTGACTGACACGCTGCCGTCTGTTCCCCATCACATGGTGACACTTCATGAGTTGCTCTCGGTGAGATGATCCCACCATGGCACTTCCTGTGATGGGGTGACAACGGTCTGCCACTCGTCACCCTGTCACATGCCCCCCCTGGTGGGCACTGTACGTGGATGTGCTGACACACATTACACAAGCATGTTCCACTGTTGTCACCATCAGGATACCGGTCCAGAGCAATGTTGTACAGCCAACACTGGGGCCAGTGCATGTAGACAGGAAGTGGCTGAAAGAGGCTTCAGGAGACGAGAAGAAATAGGGTGACAACAGGAATTTATGGCAGTTACTATTTACATTGTTTTTGTAAACTGTATGTGTATGTAATCCCGAGAACAAATGTCATAGATCACACGGTACCAATCCTCAGACGCGGTGGCTGCATTTGTTTACGCGTTTGAAACTTTTTTTTCTCCTTTCTCTTCTCCTGCTGATCACACCAGCAACTCACTTCCTGTCCTAAGGTGACAACGCTCACTGTACTATATTTATGGAGCAGTAGCGTTGTCACTGTAAGACTGGACTGCAATAAGCTCCCCCTCGCCTCTTCTCCATAACGTAGGTGAGAGGAGTTCATTGGTCCTCAGAGTTTGCTGGGAACAATGTAATTTATAACCGTCAGCACAGGCGGAGAGCATAGTATGTTATCCTCTTATGGAACAGATACAATGTAACAGTCAGCACAGGCGGAGAGATCCGGATGTTATCCTCTTATTGGACAGATACAATGTAACAGATAACAGTCAGCACAGGGGGAGGGCTCCGGATGTTATCCTCTTATTGGACAGATACAATGTAACAGATAACAGTCAGCACAGGGGGAGGGCTCCGGATGTTATCCTCTTATTGGACAGATACAATGTAACAGATAACAGTCAGCACAGGGGGAGGGCTCCGGATGTTATCCTCTTATTGGACAGATACAATGTAACAGATAACAGTCAGCACAGGCGGAGAGCATAGTATGCTATCCTCTTATTGGACAGATACAATGTAACAGATAACAGTCAGCACAGGGGGAGGGCTCCGGATGTTATCCTCTTATTGGACAGATACAATGTAACAGATAACAGTCAGCACAGGGGGAGGGCTCCGGATGTTATCCTCTTATTGGACAGATACAATGTAACAGATAAAAGTCAGCACAGGTGGAGAGCACCGGATGTTATCCTCTTATGGAACAGATACAATGTAACAAAGAAATTTACTGTCAGGTTTTACATGCTCTTTAAGCATGCTTAGATCCATTTATTATCACATGTATCACACAGGGGGATGTGTCGCATGTGAAAATATGAGCCAGTTCTAATATATATATATAT